AGTTGATTTCGTGGATGCGCTTTTCGAGGCGTAGCAACGCGACTGGAATATTGGAATGTGTCCAGTGCCTTGAAGGTGTCTGCAAATGTCATCGTCTCCAGGTTCGTTCTAGTTGCTCTGCTGACGCGCTTGCTGCCGCACGCCGTCTTCGACGAAGGCCACCCAATCATTTGGTCACCCTCCGCGAATTCAAGCAGGGCGCGAGTACCCCGACGCATTTCAAAAGTCATTGTGAACATGGTGGCTGATATCTTCCTGTATCTTTGGCGGTCGATGCCGAGTCAATTCGCAAATCCCAGACACATCCGAGACGCACTGCTGGGCATGAGGGTGAGATTGGGAGTTGCTAGACCTGGGTCTCATGCGCAACATTCAACGGTGCGTTTCGAGGCATGACAGCAAATTGGCGTACTAAATGTGCAACGTGTTGTCAGCTACTCTTGGCGGTGACGGCGGGGAATTCGGATTACCAGTGCGGTGCTTAATCATGCGATGCTTAAGATCTAGCGGGCGGTGCCGCGCCATCAGACATAGCGGCTGCGGCGCCCCGCAAGTACAATCTCTTGGTGACGTGATTGGCGCCATTATCCGTGCGTACATTTGTGCCGCCGCAGTACGCGCCCGAGTTTACAGAGGGGAATGGTTACTACGCTGTCTCATCGCCCTCCTGCCTCAAAGAGGCTTCGCAAGTGCATTCGTCGCAGCATGGCATCCGTGTGCGCTATGGCTCGAGCGCGCGTGCCCGGCGCTCTGCAGGCTCAGACCCTCCGCGGCTGGGCCGTCGACGCGCGGCGCGGCGGCAAGAAGGTTTCAGCATCCCACGCCGCTGCCGCAAACGCCGTGCCGCTTCTCTTCTCGATTCTGCCGCCGCCGCCGCCGTCGTTGTCGTCGCCGCCGTCCTCGTCGCCCTCGTCGTCGTCGTCGTCGTCGTCGTCGTCGTCGTCGTCGTCGTCGTCGTCGTCGTCGTCGTCGTCGTCGTCGTCGTCCTCGTTGTCAACGCCGCAGTCGCGCCGTCGCCGCCGCCGACCCCCCCGCCGCCGCCGCCGCCGCCGCCGTCGCTTCGCCGTCGCCGTCGCCGCCTCGCCGCCGCCGCCGCCGCCGCGGAGGTCACCGCGGGCCTCGCGCGCAGTGGCCTGGCGCCGTGCCTGGCGGCGCAGCTGGCCGAGCTGGCCGGGCTGCTGGAGAGCCCCGTCTTCGTGCGCGTGCGGCTGGAGCTCCTCGACACGCGGAGGCGCGCCCGCGTAGCGAGCGGCCCTCCTCCGCCCTCCTCGCTCCCTCCTCCTCCTCCCTCCTCCCTCTTCCTCCACCCTTCCTCCTCCTCCTCCTCCTCCTCCTCCTCCTCCTCCTCCTCCTCCTCCTCCTCCTCCTCCTCCTCCCTCCCCCCCTTCCCCTCTTCCTCCTTCTCCTGTTCCTCGTCCTTCTCCTCCTCCTCCTCCTCCTCCTCCTCCTCCTCCTCCTCCCTCGTTCTCCCCCCTCGTTCTGTCCTCCGCCCTTCCTCCCTTTTTCTCTATCTCCTCCTGCTCCTGTCCCGCTCGTGTCAGGGAGGCTGAGGCATGCCCTTTGAACGCCTGTACCTGTACCGGCTTTTCCTCCTCCTCTTCTTCCTTCTCCTCCTCTTCCTCCTCCTCCGTCTGCTCTTCTTCCTCCTCCCTCTCCTTCTCCTCCTCCGCCTCCTCCTCCTTCTCCTCCTCCTCCCTATCGCGCGAGCGAAGACGAGGGCGAGCTCACGCCCCGCCTCAGCTCAGACCGCTCGCTGAACTGCAGCGGGGCGTGAGCCCGCCTCCCCCCCGATCACCGCGCGCTTCGGGATCCACAGGGACGCGGCCGCCCTCCCCCTCCCCAGGGGCGGCGCCGCTCCTTGGCGGGGGAGTGGATCAGACCGGAGGTCCTGCAGCAGCAGGGGGCAGCATGAGGGGAGAGCCCCGCGGGCGAGGGCGAGAGCTTTGCCCGGGGCCATTGGGCGGTGCGGCTCAGGGTGCGGCTTCGGCAGCACATCGTGGGAGTTAAGTCGGGCGTGTCCCCCTACAGGAGGAGTATTCAAACATAGTAGAAAAAATCTGGGGACCATGTTTCGACTATTGTCGATCATTTTGGAGCATTGTTTGACAACTTTTCATTTTTCGTCCAAAATCCGCCTGTAGGAGGGCATGCCCGACCTAACATTGCATTGGGGCCTTGTTCGGGGAAGCGTGAGACTCGAGTGCGCCGAAATGCGGATTAGCCAACGCTTTCTGACGAGCCCGTCCTGGATTTTGGCAGTCCACTTCTCGTGGGATGTCTGTAGCGGGAGCTTGCGACAAATCTTCAGAGCGGGTCTCGTCATTTTCCTGACGGCCTCGTCAGGCCAACCGGAGTCCCCCGAACCCGAGTCTTGTGTCTCCCCGATCAGGGTGCGCTGGCGTGCGTGAACGTTTGGTAATCGATTGGAAAAAGACGGAGCGGCGACGACGGAGGTCTGCGACCAACAGACAGGGAGGGAGGATGGGGAGGAGGGGCGGCCTCGGTAGCGACGGATGTAAGTCTTCGGATGTTCTGAGAACCTCTCGGACCTTCCGAGAGCCTTCTGGGAACTTCAGCAGCCTCGGGGGTGTACCTCCGGCAAAAGGACGCGAGAGGAGGAGCAGGAGGAGGAGGAGGAGGAGGAGGAGGAGGAGGAGGAGGAGGAGGAGGAGGAGGAGGAGGACGGAGGAGGAGGAGGAGAGGAGGAGGAGGAGGAGGAGGAGGAGGAGGAGAGGAGGAGGAAGGAGAGGAGGAGGAAGGAGGAGGAGGAGGAGGAGGGAGGAGGAGGAGGGAGGAGGAGAGGGAGAGGAGGAGGAGGAGGAGGAGGAGGAGGAGGAAGAAGAAGAAAGAAGAAGACGAAGAAGAAGAATAAGAAGAAGAAGAAGAAGAATAATAATAAGAAGAAGAATAATAAGAAGAAGAAGAATAAGAAGAATAAGAAGAATAATAAGAAGAATAATAATAAGAATAATAAGAATAATAATAAGAATAATAAGAATAATAATAAGAAGAATAAGAAGAATAATAAGAAGAAGAATAATAAGAAGAAGAATAACAATAATAATAATAATAAGAAGAAGAAGAAGAAACATAAGAAGAAAAATAAGAAGAAGAAAAAGAAGAAGAAGAAGATGAATAAGAAGAAGAATAATAATAAGAAGAAGAAGAAGAAGAGGAGGAGGAGGAGGAGGAGGAGGAGGAGGAGGAGGAGGAGGAGGATCCTCCTCTCCCTCCCTTCCTCTGCTCCCCTCCCAGCTCCCGAGGCACCCGGCGCTCTTGCGTGCGGTGCTGGGCCTGGTCTCCCTACTGCCGCAGGCCCACGGGTTGGGGGAAAACGCACTGCCCCGGCCGCGCCAGGGGACAGGCTGCCTCGGCGGAGTAGGGAGAGCCTCTTCCCTCCTCCGCCCTCCTCCGCCGAGGCAGCCTTTCCCCGAAGCCGCTCCTCGATCCTTTTCGACGTTGAAGCGTTGGTCCCTGGGGCCCATGCTTCAACGTCGAGGAGAATCGAGGCTCGAGGAGCGAGGTTCGAAGGGTTATGGTGGGCCTCCTCGTCCCCCGGGCTGGCCCGCCTCGAGACTCTGGCCGCCATGTTGGACCTGCCTGCGGGATGCCTCTCGTGGGCTCGGCCAGCTCCGCCTCCAAATTTTGGCTGGGACGCGTCCCAGGACGATTTTTTTGGGGGGCCGATCGCTGAGGGGGAGGATCCAGGGCCAATGTTTGGAAACTCACAGCATGCTCCCTGATTTTTCAAGCAAAACCCAATACGTGCCCTCCCAGTTATGCTCTAAGCCCAATCGGTGTTTGAGCAAATCTCGGTTCTGCTGCACTGTTCGGGGGCCGCCTGCGGGCCCTGGGACCTGTCAGAGCGCCGCCCGGGACGAGAGACCACCTTGGCCCCCCGGGAAGAGGTCCAGAACCTCATGGATCCCGCGCTGAAGTCGAATAATAATAATAATGCTAATAATAATACTAAAAATAAGAATACTAACAATAATAACAAAAGTAATAATAATAATACTAATAATAATATTATTATTAAACATAATATTAATAATGAAACATAGCAAGAATACTATTACTATTAATAATGATAATAATAGTAATCATAATAGTAAACATGATATTAATGACAAATAGCAGTAGTAATACTAGTACTACTACTACTAATAATAATAACCATAATGATATTAATACTACTGATAGTAATAGTATTAAGAATAATCATAGCAATAATAATAACAACACTAATAATAATAATGATAAGAATAATAATACTAATACTAATACTAATACTAATACTAATACTAATACTAATACTAATACTAATACTAATACTAATACTAATACTAATACTAATACTAATACTAATACTAATACTAATACTAATACTAATACTAATACTAATACTAATACTAATACTAATACTAATACTAATACTAATACTAATACTAATACTAATACTAATACTACTAATACTACTAATACTAATAGGAGTAATAGTAATAGTAGTAATAATAATAGTAATAATTGTAATAGTCATAACAATAAGAAGAATAATGATAAGAGTGATGACCGGCATGAACTCGGCGGCGAGCCTGAGGGTAAGTGAGAAAGGGGCGGGCCTTCTCAGAAGGCTCGGACGTCCCCTGGCCTTCCGAGAAGTTTCCGGAGCTTTCCCCGAAGACACGGGAAGCTTCTCAGACGGCGCGAGGGCTTCTGAGAAGCCCCGACCGACGCCTTTTGAAAATGCCTTCTCCTTCTCACTTCCCTCCCTCGCTCGCCGCCGATGCCGATGAGCAGCATTTGTCGGAGGTTCGCGCGGATTTCTTGGATCGGCGCTGGGCCCTGGCGGTGCCTCCAGCTCCGATCCAAGAAGTCCGCGCGGACGTCCGAGAAATGCTCCGTTCATGCTGCTTGTTTCGCTCCTCTTGTGAGGGTGAGGAACTCACGGCGTCGGAGGTCTGAGGCGGCTTCTTCGAAGCACCCCTGCTTCTCAGAAGGCGCGGGCCCTAACTGTAGATGTAAGGAGGCCGGCGCCTCCCCAGGAAGCAGTCTCCTTCTGAGAAGCCTCCCCCCCTCCCTCCACCCCATGCTGTGCGCGCCGCCAAACGGCGTCGGAGGTCCGGGTCACCGAGCGCGTTCCATTTCTCACAGAGTGCCTGCTCGCAAACGTCTTGAACAAGAAACAGTCTTGTGCCGGATCCAGGCCACTTGCGAGCAGCTACTTTGCGAGCAGTGGAGCGCGCTTGTCTGGGGGGGGGAGGCAGGGCCGCCCACGATCCGACTCGAGGCGCTTCGACTCGCCGGCCAGGGCCGCGATTCCGATTCGCTTCGATTCGTGTCGGTTCGCTGGCGCCGATGGAGGCCAGCCTGAGCCAGGCGCGGCGATCCGACCTCGATTCGAATCCGGACGGCTCGCTGGCGATCCCGTTCGTTGAGCCGGTCCGATCTCGCGATTCGAGCTGGCTCTGCTCTGAGAGGCAGGAGAGAAAGACGATTCCGGAAGCCTCTGGCAGGCCAGTTCGGCGCCGCCTTTGCAGCGCGGCGACGCTTGCGCGGGCGCTCGAGCTTGGAGGCCTCCTGGGGCCCTGCTTCGGGCCCCGGGGCCCACTGCACGTACATCGTACAGTCCAACCGCATAATAAGGATGGGCAACCTTCCCAAGGGTACCTTCGCATCCTTGCCTCTTCGGGCCATGCTCGGCCACTTTCGCTGCATCTTTACCGCGAATCCTTACGATACGGGTCGACTGTAACCCATGGCGCGACGGGGTCGGCAGCCTCTGAGAGCGGAGGCCGTTGAAGGTTGCACGGCTCGCGCGGTGTCAGACGGCAGGGGCCCGGGTGGTCGCGGTGGGGAGCTTGCCGCACCACGCCCGTGCCAGGGGGAGGCCTGCTTCGTTGGCCTGGCCTCTCGGTGCAGCACTTCCCCCCCCTCGCTCGCCGCCCGCTTCGCTCGCCGCCGGGCCAGGAGAAGACGCTGCGGCGGCGGCTCGACCTCGTCACGACGGGGATCCTCTTGGACCGCCTGGGCCCCGGCGGCGGCGGGCCGCCCGCGCCGGCCAGGCGGGCTATGGTCGCCGCTCGCCGCGCGTCGTCTGCGTCGGTCGGCGATGGAGGATCCTGGTCGTCTTCGTCGGTCGGCGATCGAGGATCCCAGAGCTCCGACGATGCGATGTCTCCGACCTGGGCGTTTCTCTTCGTTCTCGACCCCTGGGGCCCACTGGTCAGGCCCCGGGGCCACAAAAATTTGGATCCGGGGCGCAGAAGCATCCCATGGGGAAGGGGTCGGGAGCTCTGGGGCCGCGGATTGAAAAGATCATGTAGGAGGGTGCCTGGGATCGCTGTCGCCGTCGCCGCCGCCGTCGCCTTCGTCGTCGTCGTCGTCGTCCTCGTTCTTCGTCCTCGTCTCCGTTCTCGCCCTCGTCCCCGTCCTCCTTCGTTCGTCGTCCTCGTCCTCGTCTTCGTTCGCTCGTCCTCGTTCGTCGTCCTCCTTCGTCGTCCTCGTTCGTCGTCCTCGTCTCCTCGCTCGTCGTCCTCGTTCGTCGTCCCCGCCCTCCTCATCGCCCGCAGGGTCCCAGGCGCGGCCGTGGCCGCGCGCCTGGCGGAGTTCGAGGAGGTGGTCGAGCTGCACCGGTGGCGCGACTGCACGATGTGAGCCGCCGCTGCGGCCGCAGCGCTGGGGAGCACCGGGCTGGCGGGCGGCAGCCTCTGGACGGGTGGCTGTGCACGACGCCGGGCCAGGTTCGCGCGGTGCACTTGCGTTCGGTGGCAAGTCATGGGAGCCTCGTGTGTCTGCACGGTTCCGTCTTCAGAGTGCATTCGCGTGCGCGAGCGTCGTTAGTCATCGGGGGGACAGCACCGATTTGGCGTCGATTAGCTTCGACTTCGCGTCTATGAGCGTCAGCTAGCGCCGATGAGCGTCGACCACCAAGAGCCAGCAAGATGGCATGTGAGGCTCCCTTGAGTTGCCACAGAGCATCACCTGCTCACCCAGACGTGCTTGCGTCGCGAAAACATCACGATGGACGGTCTTTGGCCGTTTTCGGTCTCTCGGGGCCCTCGCCGAGCCCTGGGACCGTCAAAAAACGATTCGGGATGAGAAACCGGCTCTGTGGAAGGGGTTGGCCCTTCGTGGGCCCCGCATCAGACTTCCTCCTGGCGAAGGACACAACCACATGCAGCCGTGGGCAACAGGCCCCAGACGCTCCGGAAAAATTGGAGCGGCCGGTTTTTGGCCGTTTTCGGCTCCCGGGGGCCCTCGCCAGGCCTCGGGAGCGTCAAAATCCATTCTTCGTGGCGCCAACATCGCAGAGCGGATTTCGTTCGGAAAACAATGGGATGGGCCCAGATTGTCCTGGAGAATTTCGTTCCAGATTTCGCAGTGAATTTCGTGCGGATGTTTGGGGCCAGGAATGAAGACGATCGCCGTTTTTCGGGGCTTTGCATCGACAGAAGTCCACGCAAAAATCTGCTGCAGCACGTCTGCAAAGGTCGGTGCAGTGACACTCTGGATGGAAAACCGGCCCTGGGATTATGATTCAACCTACTTTGGCTTTGATCACCAGAAAGAATCTCGAGCACCAGGAAAGTGCCGAAATTGGAGGGTCTTCACTTGTCTGGCCCTGGGAGGCGACACTCGTTCGACACCGTTTCGACACCTTTCTGGGCGCTCGAAGTTGTTTCTGGGATATGGTCCTGAAGTGCGATGGGAGCAACATAGCCCCGGGGACGTGGTCCAGACCTCGAGGAGCCCGCGCGTCGGATATAACCTGGAGCGGCCGGAGATGTCTGGGGCCGCGGCGCCCCTAGGCATTCTCCAGCGCCGCGGGATCTCGGAGATTCTCGCTTGCTCCTCTCCCGACTTTGTCCTCGCGTCCTGGCTTCGCCTTAGTCCTTGCCTCTCCACAGGTCGCGCGTCTCGTCGTGCGTCGAGATGGTAGCCCTGCTCTCCTCGTTACTCTCGCGCTCTGCGCAGCCAGCACCGTGCTTCAGTCGTCGTTGCGCCCGTCGCTCGAAGTTCGGCCGCTGATCCGCGGGGTCGACAGGGCGGGCCGATTTTCATCCTCCCGGCTCGTGGCGCCATCGAGGCGGCTGCTGGCGGGGACGCCACGCCACTGGCCCGCGCCAACGGCGAGGCGCGCACGTCGTCATCGTCGTCGTCGTCGTCGTCGTCGTCGTCGTGGTCGTCGTCGTCGTCGTGCTCGTCGTCGTCGTCGTCGTCGTCGTCGTCGTCGTCGCCGTCGAGGAGAACAAATTTAACATGCAGAGCTCCTTGGTAAGGGTTTTGGCATGGCAGAGGCGATCCTCGTAGCAGACCGCGCTTGCTGTGGTCACGAGGCTCCTTTCCACCTCCGCCTCCTCCTCCACCTTTCCTTGCCGTCGTCGCCGAGGAGGAGGAGGACCCAGACCGTCGACGTCGTTATTTCCCCGATCTATTCGTCTGTTCAGTTTCTGCCTTAAGAGGTGCGTTTCGGACCCTGGAGCCGTTGAAAACCTACTCGGGATGGAGACCGGCTCTACGGGGAAGTCTCGGTAGCTCTAGCAGGGACTATGTATCGAAGAATCAGGACATCCGAGGTCTTGGGAGAATGTGGATTGGGGTTGCTGAGTTTGTTTGGCCCTTCGACGTCGTCGTCGGCGTCGGCGTCGGCGTCGGCGTTGGCGTCTTCGTCGTGGTCGTCGTTGTGGTGGTCGTCTAAGTTGTCGTGGTCGTGATCACGGTTGTCGTCGTCGTCGTCGTCGTCGTCGTCGTTGTCATCGCTTTTGTCGACAAGAACGAACTTAGCATGCAGAGGCCTTTGGTAAGGGAGCACACAACATGGGAGAACCGGTCTTCTCAGAAGACGGCGCCTCCGAAAAGCTCGATCCTCGACTCTCGATTCCCTCTTCCCCTTCAGGCGCGCTCACGTCAATCCGCGGCCCCAGAGCTCCCTCCCCTCCGTCAGGGACAGTCCACTCGCCCCCGATGTTGGACGGGCCTGGGGTCCGAAAGCGGCCCCCCAGAGGGCCAAGTCGAGGAGCAGTCGCCAGGATTGAAGCATTCATCCCTCTTGAGTTCTGGAGCCTTTTCCAGCACCACGCCCCCCGGAGCCGAGCGACACGCTATCGGCTTGCAGGGCATGGTGTGTCGCCGGTGCCGCCACCGCGACACGCTGAGCAAGACATCCGACCGTGAGCACAAGCTCTTCCTCGTACATCCGTATTCGCGGCCTAGTGGGCTGGGTCCCTGGACCGCGACCCCGCGGATCCGGTGCGTTTTTCGCGGATGCCCGGCGCGGAACGTGTCCGTGCCACCGCGTATCCCAGACCCCCGACGTCGTGATTTTTTCATAACGTCGACCCCCAGAAGTCTGGACCCCTTCCCTGGGACCCGTTTTTCGCCCGAGTCGTTTTTGACGGTCCCGAAGCCCGGCGAGGGCTTCCAGAGGCCGAAAAATCAGAAGAACCTCCCGTCGTGATTTTTCACAACGCGAGGGGGCCGGGGATCTGCGGCATCGCGCCCTGGAACCTAGACCGCGCGGGGGCGGAGACGGATCTGCTCGCCGCTCGTGACTTCGTCCCTTGCCTCTCCCAGGACCGGCCGTGAGCCTGGTCGGGGCGGACCCCGAGTGGCGCACATCGGTGCTGCTGCGCAACGTGCCGCCTTATCTCCCGGGACTGGGAGAATAAGAGGAGGAGGGCGAGGAGGGCGAGGAGGAGGAGGAGGAGGAGGAGGAGGAGGAGGAGGAGGAAGACGAGGAGGGGGGGGAGGGACGAGGAGGAGGAGGAGGAGGAGGAGGATGAGGAGGAGGAGGAGGAGGAGGGGGAGGAGGAGCAGGAGGAGGAGGCGGAGGAGGAGGAGGAGGAGGAGGAGGAGGAGGAGGATGACCAGTGTAAACCCAAGAATCATCAACGATGTTGGAACTAACCCTTCCTCCAAGCTTCCTCTCCATAGGCCCCTACAACGGTTTATTTCCTTTGAGGGAATTGCGTCGTTGGAAGACAACCGTTTGAAGATCCTGAAGCATGCCAAAACATTGTTCTCGGGATTTCAACGCCACGGTCAACCTGACTGCTGCGTCTTGTCGATCGGGAATCGTGCCAGAGCGTCATTTTTGGGGACTTCAACACCGCGAACCAACATAACTGTTGCACTCGCATAATCCTGAATCCTTCCAAAACACCATTTCTGGTACGCTGATCACGGGATTCCGTTTTTTTTTTGGGGGGGGGGCTTTTTTGAAACGAATAGGCGCGGCGCTAAGGCGAGAGCCACATTTTGAAAAGGAGCCGCCCCCAATCCGTGAAGCTCTTGCAAATTTTTGAAACGAATCTGCGCGGCGCTAAGGCGAGAGCCACATGTTGAAATGGAGCCGCCCTCAATCCGTGAAACCCTTGCAAATGTTTAGAGCGAATGGGGGCGGCGGTAAGGCGAGAGCCACATTCAAAAAAGGACCCGCCCTCAATCCGTAAAACTGCTGTCACTTCTTAAGTCTCAGAATCATGAGTGGTGAGGAAGTCTCAGGCGAAACGCCCGGACCACCCTAGAGACTTGCCTCGGGGTGCGACAGGGAAAAGTTATCTACAAGAAGAAGAATGGAGGAGGAGGAGGAGGAGGAGGAGGAGGAGGAGGA